ATGCTCAGTGTTTGATGTAAATTGAAGCGATGACTGAATAAACGAACCTGGCTGGCGAAGATGTATCAGGAAGTGTACACATTTGTTGGAAGTGAACAAAATATTCAATGTAATGACAAAAATTGTAAAATGCTGTGGAATTTCTTTTGTAAATAAAAATATACTAGCAATTTTCTATTAATGGTTTATTCAAGTGGGCAAAATATAATGTACAGAAAGAATGCCCGTAGAGTATCGCTACACTGAAAAGTAAGCAACCGACAGCCTGTATAAAAGGGGGCCTGTGATTGGCTGTTACTTACGCGAGATTTGAACGGGACTTACGTAGGCGTCGGATCAGATGTATGTAGGGCGGAATTACAAAAAATCAAAATCAAAGTAAAATAATAAAATAAAAAGGCATTAATAACAAAAGTAATAAAAAATAAAATTAAAATAAGTTTATAGCCAAAATAATTAAAGCCCGTACACTACATCAGATTTTAATCAGATTGGCATCAGGTGCCCCCTCGAACATTTTCTGAGGGCAGGCTGCTGGAGAACACAAACGTCTTTATCAACTACTACCCACCCAATCCATTGAGGAGGGCCTCTTTTAGGCTAGGTCCCGTCGTAGCGAGTCAGACTTTGGTTGCTGATCCAGCCCGAATGACCACTAGGGTCCCTGCGCATAGGCAATAAGTCAGTCTCAGCATTTTTTGCGGACAGATTTCTCTACCATCAGCACCCCTGGAAGCTTCCAGGTCTCGCTTTTCGAACTATGCCTTCATGCAGAACTGTTTCAGTCTTTACTTCAAAAGCATACTACCCCCTAATTTGGGTTTTGGGTCTAGCTTTCTCGGGCACACCGAACCCTGTCTCCGTAGCAGCATTTATTGCTTCTTGCTCCGGGGACAGCCCAGGCAAGGTAAAACACTACTCTCTTTTGGGTTTTAACTAGGTGGTGAGTGATTGTTGTGGAGTGTATCAACCCGGACTGGGAAAAGACTTTCATCATTTTATGTTTGCTCGGAAAACCCTCCACCTGACTCTGCCTACAGTTCAAAATAGTCATTTTGATTGACCGGAGTCTATGGTGGGTAATTGAAAGTAGTGAATTTAGGCAGAGGGTTCTCTGAACCCGTTTATTCACATAGTTCATACCCATCATAAACTCCGGGTCCCCCCCAACCACCCCACTCTTTTCGTAGCCTTGGCCTAGTCCTCGGTGTCGAGAGAAAAGAACCAGAAGTGATTATCCAGTCATAATGGCACCGCCATATGGCCTCGATCACGTGGTTCTTGACGTAAGGGAAAAGAATCTTGGGGTCATGGGGCTTCCTCTGACCTAGATTCTATCTCTCTGTCATTGGCAAAATCGCTGATTAATGCCTACAGTTCAAAATAGTCATTTTGACTGACCGGAGTCTATGGTGGGTATGAACTACCGGTATGTGAATAGGCGGGTTCTGAGAACCCTCTGCCTAAAGTTGTGTTCTTGTTTGTCGGGACCCACTTGGGACAGACTCGATTATTTGACACAAACATAGAAAATGATATGCATATGGTGATAATAATAATTGCTATACTGAAATTATACCCATCTGTTATGGTATTTTTTACGAGTCATCGTGCACATGAATGCCAAAGAAGATTAAAAAAACAAATATTTTTTCAAGTCGATGTAGCATTGCAAAAAAAGGTTGCAGCAGCACATAAATATGCATTGCCGACAACGTTCTACATTCATTACTGCAGAATCCGACCATATCTAGCTGCACTTCCCTTCATCGGCATGACATACTAGTATGAATCAGTATATGTTCTCGTAAATTCACCATCGAGGGCATGATTTTGGCTTTTGCCAAGCGTTCAGGCAGGGAATCTCATCATGTGCTGAGTTTTGGTCTTGAGCATCTGTCAGGACAGAGATCAAGTTTTTTTTGGCACGTGCCGACACGGTCCTGACCGCTCACATACACGAGTCTTGGCACATGCCGAGATCTCTAACGTGAACGTCACTAGCATCTCCCAAATCTTGCTCATCATATTCTGCTGTAATCCGCGAACTGCTAAGTTGATTTGCAAACAGTAAAGATAAGTCAATACCTCGGTAGATCCTGAGAGATATCATGTGTCTTTTTATCATATTCCCAAAACTTCTGAACATAATTTCATTCTGTAACTTACACTATTATTTGGATAATTTGATATAGATAATTAAAAAAAATGTAAATGTGAGCAGCTACCTTAAAATGAGTAAAACCCCATTTACATACAGCTACTTTTTAGGCCCTCTAGAGTTATTATTTTGGAAACTGATAACTCAAAAGTCAAGAATTGTGCTGAGAGACGCATCTTCTAAAGCGTCACCATACTAAACAATGTGTTCCTAGAAATCATAATATGTTATTAAGGGTTGTAATCTCTTCAAAATTGCGATCAACTCTAAGTCATAATACTTTCAGCTATTTCAAAAAAAAAAAATGATGTGATCAGATCAGTGCTACACAATATATTTTTGCAAACAATCATATTTTCTGTTCTTTTTGACTTTTTTTTTTTTTCAAAATTTTTCGGACACAGTAATAGTTGTACCGGTAATCATATTTCTAGTCATTGACATGGCTGATATTCATTCAGCAAAAAAAAATTAGCAATACAACACTTTTTTGTTTTGTCATTTATTGGGTGATGGCAAAACATTTCTACAACCAATTGGTTCCAAAAGTAGTTGTCGCTTTTCTTAAACAGATTGCAACAAAAATGATTATATCATGAAAAGAGGCAATTCTCATTATGTTATTCAGCCCAATATTAGTATTCTTGTTTTGTGAAAAACTCTGTATCACTTGTAATTTTTTTTTTTTTTTACATGTACCAGGAAAAAGCTGCATCATTAAGAAAAGTTGTTCAGACTGGAAACCTCAATTTAAAAGAGAAATTAGCTATTGAGTTTCATGGTGAGTATTAAGAATGATACTAAATTAACATAATCCAATGCAAGAATTGACTAACCTTTGAATTTTGAATCACAGTTGAAGCTGTGAATAATTTATGTTTATTATAGAAATGTATGACTGACTGGAGAAGTTGCTTAGATTTCCTGTTAAGGTTTTGTTCAGACTGGTCGTTTAATACTAAAGATTGATTAATATATGTGTACATGTCAAATTTGTTGCTTCCTTCTATGAATGAACTGTTCTGGATGGAGTTTTGTGTTTGACTGTCTGGTTGATGCCATTATATTGCATTAAATGTCCCTTTGATAGAGAGGTGTTCGAGCAACACTGTTATTTAGTCCCAAACATAGAATATGGTTTCTGTGGCCAATTGTATTTAACAATTGTAAACAGTAAATAAACAAGAGTGACATTCAGTTCAGCCTGCCATGTCATGTATGTACATGTAACATTATTGTTTATGATTTACCTCAATTCAAATTATTGACAAGAATTAAAACTAATTACACATTTTAGTCTTTCTTTATTTTAACTTGGAATTTATTTTCAGAGTTTTCACTAAAGGGATGAATTAACTCATCAAAAATCTGGTATTTTCAGCAATAAAAATAATTCCTGCTAAAATAAAGTATTTTACAGTATTAAAGAATATAGGGGCAGGCAACTGTGACAGACATCAAAGGAAATAAAATATGTTCTGTGTCTTGGTTCTATTAAGCAAGCCATTACACATCCATATTACAGTTTTTATAGTAGTTGTTGTAAACCGTTTTGTAAACATACTCCATCAAATATGTTCGCAATAAGCTAGTTTAAGAACTATTGTACATTTGCTATGACATATACTTGTTTTTGAAAAATCAACAAAAAAGATTATTAGATATTTTAAATTATCATTTACTTGCATCAAGACATACTAATAAAATGTTCTGTCAACTCCAATCCATTTCGTAACCAATTTTTGAAAACATGATGTATCAATTTTGTTGGAGAACCTACTAGTTTATGTTCTACTACTTATAATGTTACATAGGTAGGGTTTTGATTTGAAATCCATCATGAATATTTTCTTTGAGTTTGTACATGTAACTGGTCTTGCTGCATTGAAATACCAAACTTTCATATTTGAATCTTGAGAGACATTACACCACAGTTGTCTTTCCCTGTATTCTCTTGTGTCGATACTTTTATTTATATCTTTAAATTCTAGAATCATAACATCATTGTATTAATATTAACATGGTATCATTTTATTAATATTGACATGGTAGTTGCATAAGGTTGACATTGTGTAGCTGTGGGAAACCAATTTACCACAGCCACACATTGACAGTTATTATTGTATTTACATGCATAAACATTATAATATTTTGACAGCTGATGGACGGCATGGCACAGTCAGATTTGAAGGTGAATCCACTCCGGCCAAAGTAAGTATAGCAGGAGATAACTAGATGGACTATGAGGACTATGATTCGATAGTACTGTAGTAGTTTGTATGAGGAGATGACTCTATCCTGTGAATATAATCAAAGAAAAAATGAGATCTACAATTAATGAAATCCTTACTAAAAAAAGCAGTCATCTTTATAAAGCCACACTCCAGACATACATTTGGAAATTAGTTATGAAAATTGTCTCATATAAAGCTAATGTCTCTGCGAAAATGTAGATATGTTATTTGTTGCTATATGGGGTTTTGTGAATCGAAAAAACCCAGAATTCTCCTCAGGCCAATTATTGTATTAGTTGCTAGCAAGGCAAGGATTTGTACGTTATGCAGCAAAGAATGGACAAAATGTGGAATAAAATTAAGGTAGCGAGAAGGGAAATTTTCACTTTTTTCTTGATT